GTACAAGAGCCTACAGTAAATAAGCTAATTTTAGAAGCATCCTCCTTAGAGTCAGGAGCAAATTAAGGCTGCCCAGGATCCCCTACAGCTCAATATGTACTCGAGGTCCTAACAAATTCACTAAGATTAAAAATATATATATTTTAAAAACAGTATCTTTTATAACCTTGGGTAAAGGGAGGATTTCTTTAAAAGGACAAAACTCAGATATTGTAAGGATAAAGGCTTATAGTAGAAGGATAGGCACCAAATTTGTAATGGGGGCTGCCCCTGGGAAAGGAGGCACAGAGAAAATGAAGGGATGAGAAAGGAATTCAACCTTATAGACAGTGTAATGTTTTATATCTTAAAAAATGTCAAGTGTTAAGTGTTAACAAATGTTCCTTCTGATTGGTGTATATACAGGCATTAATTGCATTACCTCCTGCATTTTTTTGAAACGAGTCTTTTTTTTTTTTTTTCCAAAGAAAGGACAAAAACTAAAAGCAAAACCCCAGAGATAATTAAAAATTTAAACACTAACTTAAAAGATATGGATTCTCCTCTTCAGAAAACCATAGTTATCAGAGTTATATATAATCTAATAAGTAATTATAGTGAAACCCCAAATAATATAAATTCAATCTAGATGTGTAAACAAAATGTATGGGTACGTAGAAGAAAAAAAGTAAAGCAACAAAATGCTTCAAGGAGGAGATGTCATGAGTGCTGAATCCTGGAAGATAGGTCACATTTCAAAATTGAGAAAAGGCTGTGAGTGAAGCGGGCTCCTGCATAAGGCTTCACAATCTGCAGAAGCCGCTAGCTCTCCCCCCGCCCCCCAGGAGATGGTCTGTAAAGGAGTTTCTAAAGCACGCAGATCCAGTCAAGGTGACCAAGGAATGTCTCAAGGATTGGGATGCAAAAGGAAAGGACCTCAGTGAATAGTATCCCATCCAGCTGATGCAGCGTTTGGGTCTCTTGGCTGGAGCCACCCCTCTGAGAGAATCCTTGTATCAGACAGTTGTCACTTGTTGACACCACCCAGTAAGAGAAGCCAGCTCTCCTGGTCCTGAGTTCATGGTCATTTGGCAATCTTTTAACATAGTTTGCCTTCCTTTGTAGACTATGGTGGTAGGATTGTTCTGACCTGAAAACGTGGAATTTTTTCGCACTTAGGAGAGAGGTAGGACCTGGGACCCTTTACCAGAGTGCTTGTACCGGGAGAAATGTCTCCTCCAGAATACAAAGAAACTATAAGGGACTAAAAATAACTGCACACATGCACAGTGGTGGCAAATTATGAACAACAAGATACAAAAAGGGCACAAATCAACTGTCACTTCTGAGGTGCTGGGAGGAGCAAAAGCAGGGTACTGTGCATGATCACTGCACCTGGTACCACCAAAGGGGTGGGCACACCACCTAATCTACCCCTCTGGCCTGCCCCCACTGTCACCCCATTTAAGGGACCAGTTTGCCCCCCATCGAGGAGTAAGCAAGGGCAACTGTTTCTGGTTTTCTCTACCTTGTGCTGCAGCACGAGCCCCAATAAAGGCTTGCCTAAATTCCTCGTCTGGCTTCTTATCAATTTCTATTGATTAAAGACTCCAAGGACCCCGAATCAGTAACACTTATGTCTATCAGTATAATTGGCACTCTTGTATTTGGCTGGTTCCCTTAGCCTGAGCGCTTCTGGAGCGTTAACAGACTCAAGTTTCTGGACCTGCAATGTTGAGAACGAGAGCCAGACCCTGAACTTGGTGATCCCTAGAGTAAGTGCCGTGCATGGTGAAACATGTCATGTGGAGACAGCTTATTACTTCCAAGATGGGTCCACAGCAGAGGCAGGAATAACAACCACCTTTCCTAACATTTAGCATGTGTTCATCATATTATACCACCTGCTATTTTTTAGAGAAGGCATTCTAGCTACAGTTGTTTTGGGCTTATTGCTATTCAAGAAAATATGAATTGCTTACCTCTGAATTTTCTTTTTTTCTTTTTCTACATCTCTCACCTTGGAGATGGTATGGGTATGTCATCAATATCTATGAAAATAAGATTAAAGGCATTGATAGCTTTCCTTCTGTAGTTTTCACGCCCTTCTCCAAATCCTATTAGTTTATTCAGTAGAGGTTGCACTGGGAAGTGAAGTTTGCATATTGATGTGAGGGTACTTACCTTGTTCAGTTTACATAGACTCTAAGTATCATCAGAAATACTGTGTATAAGTTGGATTTTTAAAAATTCAAGGGAGTATACCTGGGAACAGTGTTTTTATGCTACTTTATGATAGCTTTGTTCTAATAAAAAAGTACAAATGTGAAAATAAAAAGATTTCTATACAGATTTTAAGTCATTAACTCAAAATAGTATAATATACATATTACCTTGTTTTTGAAGCTTTTGGTATAATTTCTTTAAAATTAGTTTTAATTCTTCACTATTATTTACATAATGTCTTTCTGAACCAACATTGACATTTAAGTAGATCTCTGTGCAATTATTTATTTCTAAACCCATTAAAGGAAGTCTAATTTTGGACAGTCCACTTAGGGAAATACTGCTGTAACAGAGAAAATGTAACAGAAAATATAGTGTGGTATAGGTAAAATTATTAACAATGGCATTAATATGAAAATAAACTTTATGATAATAACTACTGAACATAAATGGTGACCAATGAAATAATTTTAGCTGCAATGGACAGTTTACTTGTTGAGCAAGCGTAGAATGTTGTTAAGAAAACTTTTCTTCAATGACACTGTGCTTAAATCTTGCAAATGGTCCTAAGTATATCCTAGGAAACAATCTTGAGTTTTAAAAACAAATCTGTGTCAACGGCCAAGCCTGCTATTGATTAGATAATAAAGCAATGTAATTTAATTCTAATTGGAAAAAATAACGTATATCCTTATAAAGATAACATATATATAACATATAAAAATGAAATAAAAACACCCAACTAGAAAAAATTAAATAAATGTAGCAAATTTTAAAATGGAGTGTTCCTTGAATAAAGCCAATCGCTGTCTTAGCAAATGGGAAGGTTTTGTTTCAACACACAACAGACACATTATAGAACTACCTACCATGACGCTGCTCTGTTTTGATTGACCTGCAGAAAGGAGTTCTTCTGTGTTTACCATGCCACCTGGAGGTCCTATCCTAACAAGAGACCATCCTTATCTATCTGGTCAACATCAGCTTTGCTACTTAGAGTCTGTCAAATTCGACTGAATTATAAAAATAGAATGCCTAGTAACCGTCAGCTTTCTAAACCCCATTGCTCATAATGGACCATTGGCAATACAGTAACCAACAATGTGGCTATTTCATTTCAATCTGCAACTGTTCAAATTAAAGAGATTTACTACAACAGCTTTTGAAAAATTCTGTAATAAGTGCAGCAATGCATCTCTGCTTATATTTCCATATAATTTGAATAACAGTATTGTTTAAAACAGATGTCAGCTTCTTTGAATATAATCACGTGTTGTTGTCAGCACTATGCAGCCACAGACTTACACTTAAGTAAACCAGGATGAGGTTCTCTGTGTCACCTGTTTTATTGGGGCAACCTGTTTCTTATTTAAACCTAGCCCATGAAAACAGTGTTTCTGGTTTTGTAAATATAAGCCAAATATATACAATAAACATGTTGTAATAATAATTGTTTCCCCCGCCCAAAGTGAAGACAAGGTGATGTAAATTCACTATTTGGATTTCAATCCAGCTGTCTTCGATTTTCTATAATATTAATATTGGTATTTCTAAGAGGCAGGTGGAACTAGATGTAGCCTTAACTCTTTCTGTGCTGGGAACATTTTGATGTTTGTATCATTGAGACCTGGAGTCTTTAACGATAAACATCGCTCGTGTGGACTGGGTTACACTGCAGTGATCGAAGCTCCTACCCTTCACCAAAAACCCTATCTGTGACCAGGCAAGGAGAAGGGAAGGGGAATTCTCATCCACGCATTGAGCCGCACGCTAATATCATGCAGTCAGGTGTGCAAGTATGCAAAGGTCATACCCTGAAGGGTACCTGTTGTCACAGAAATACACCACAACTCCATAAGGTCTTCAGCATAAACATGCTAAAATGGGGGTGAAAGTAAGTACTGCACTTCATTAGATCTTCTTTAGATGTTCTCTCTACATTGAATCCTTCTTCCCTTTTTCTCTTTGACTCAAATCTCCTTTACTTAACTGATTAGGGCACAGAACACAGTTTGTATGTGCGTGTTTGTACTTGTAAATTTCTATGATCATGGTTCCTAATTTAAAAACTGTATTAGCTAAGGGTTTTATATTTCTATCTTTAATAACAACACTAAATGATGTTTCTACCAAGGACCAGTCTCACCTGAAAAACAAAAGTTTTGGGGTTATGGTAGTCAACAACAAATCAGAATGATCATTTTGGAAATTACCGTTAATCGTGTTAAATTATTGAACTTCTTGCTGGAAGCAACAAATTAATATTTATTTTATACCTACCAGCTATTACGTGTATACTAGAATTTATACACAGGACACTTTCATGAAAGAAAGTGTCACGAAATACAGTCTTCAGTTACCAGCTGCTTTTAATTATAAGCCAGAATAAATGATTTAATAAGTTCCTCCCCAAACCAGCGACAATGCTTTGTGAAAGCCTCACGTTAACCAGCGAGACCGTAAGTTCCGTGAGGGCAGGGTCTCAGCGGCCTCTCCTGTTTCCTTCTCCACCTCAAGCAGCTACAAAAGGGTCCCTGAACATCTGTTGGGGCCACGTGAAAAGTCTCCCTTTATTTTGAAGTGGTTTCCGCGGACGCGCGTGTAGCAAAGTCAAGAGTGGGTAGCAAAATCGGAGGGAGCGGCAGGACGGAGAGGAATCGGGAGGAAGCAAGTGAACCCCGACAGCCGGGGAGAGGAAGGTTTCGCGCCCAGTACCGCGGCGCCGGAAGCGGGAGCCGGGCCCGCGTCCGCCGGGCTCCCCGAGGCGACCCCGCGGCGGCAGGTGGGGCGGGAGCATGCGCGCGGAGCGGCCCCCGGCCCCGGCCCGCCCCGCCCCGCGCGCCCCTCCCGCCCGCACCGCCGGGCCCACGGCGCCGCCGGCTAGCGCCCAGGCCTATCGCCCAGTCAGCGTTGCGGGCGGCGCGGCTCTGCTCCGGGTAAGGAGGGCGCCGCCGCCCGCGCCGCGGGGCCGCCGCCCCGGGTGCCCCCGCGCCCTGCACCCGGCGCCCCGCCGAGCGCGCGTCGCCCGCGGCGGGGCCGGGCGGGGGGCGGCGGCAGTTGGGAGTCGCCTCGCCCCACGCCGCCTCTTTCTCTTTCTCTTTCGCCGCCGGGCGCGGGCCGGGCTCCCCCGCGGGGCGCTGCCCACTTGTCGCCCACTTCGGACGGGCCGGGCCGGGGGCGGGGACGGCAGGACTCCCGCGGCCCTTGGGCCCCCGCGTTGGGCGTCGCTTCCTCCTGGGCGGGACGTCCCCGCGGCTCCCGTCCTGAGGGCCGAGACCCGAGCCCAGAGTCTGCCCGGCCCGGCGCGGGGACGTGGGGGCCGGAGTCCCACCTGCCGCCCTCCCCGGGGACCCCGCCCAGAGCGCGGCGGGCTGGGCTTACCTGGGCGTCGAGCGGTTACTTGCGGGGTCGGTGCGGGCGTGTCCCGAGGTCGGGGCGCTCCGGTGGGCTCTGGTCCTGCCTTTTACATCCCGTGGTCATAGATGAAAGTCTGCAGAACGTGCTGTATTCCACGTGTGCCTCCATACACTTAGCGGGGCATCGTTGATCCGTCCATGCCCGGGAGTGGAAACTTAGTAAAAGGACGGTCTGGTCTTTGTTACTGTTGAGGCTGCAGCGTGTGGAAGCCCAGGGAAGGCAGCCCGGTGGGGACCCCCTCGGCCAGGCCGTGGCCGTGCCCACCACTCAGTCTCCCTGTAGGTTACTCGGCCTACACCTTGCCCGAGGCACCGGCTTCGGAGATCCTGCTGTTGGAGCTGGTCTCTAGATACTCCTGGAGGGCTCTGGTCTCAGTCCTTAGCTGACATAAGCGTAGTGGGGTCTCCTGGTGTTTTTGAAAAGGTTAAAGTGCTAAACAGTGGTGGTGGTGTGCACTTTGTTTTTGATGCTTGGTAATATAAAGACTTGGAATGCATTTAGCTCTTCACAAGATGCTAAGTAACCTCAGGTACTCTTTATTGTACCTGAGAATCCAGAGAAAGCTTTCAGAGTAGAGATCTTTGGAGCATCCAAGTGGATTGGATTCTGCTATACTCACTTGGTGTGTAACTGGTGAGTAGTAAGGAAGATGAGCTTAAAACTGCTATTTATTATGTTCTCAGATTGTGAGGCACATCGATGGATTTGTACTGCAGGTGACCTTGACTGTGGAATTGTTTACTTCGCACACACTGTTGGGGTCAAGAGAAGTATTAAGCTTGGTCTACCTCTGCAGCCAGCTCTCAATCTGTTTCCTAAGAAAGGGTGTTGGTGGGAAGGTGATCTGGTGAAAACAATTAAGGAAAGTTAAGGAACTGCCTTAACTTCTGCTTTAAAGAGAAATAAGTGTATTTTTAAGTTCATCGTAAGAATCTTAGGTGAGCGCTGCCATCTGTATATTTCATTGCAGTCAGTAGCTGTGTGATTTGTATCTTAAATTACACTTCTGATTCATTTTTACTTTTCTTAAAAAATTTTCAGTTGTCATTTGTATAATTAAATCTTCTATGTGACAAACCACTAACAGCTTGACTTTTGGTGTGTTGAGATAAAACTTGCAAACCAAATCACTTGTGAACAAAATGATATGACGAGGCAATAAATAGGATCTGAGACTAAAACAGTCCAAAATAAAATGCCAGCATTATGAAACAGACCGTGATCAGAGGGTTTGGCAAGGAGAAGGTCTTTGGGATCTGGAGTGATGAGAAAAGGACCCAGCAGGAGTCGGGCCTTGGGCTGAATCTTGTGTAGATGGACAGAAGGAAGCAGCGTGTGGGAACCTAGGAGGGAGAAAGGGAGTCTCATGCCCCCAAAAGGGTGATTATGATTTATTTAGAACAAAGAGAAAGTATCTGCAGGGCCCAGGTTGGGCACTGTGGACATACATGCCCTCCCCACCAGCCCCTACCCTCCCAAACGAGAAAATGTCTATTCATTTTTCATGATTCATCATAATTTCTCCTCTGCGAAAGCTCTCCCGATTCTCACAACCCGAGTTCCTTCCTTTGACTTGCACTTTTCCTGGTTCATCTGTATATAAACACGTTCTTTTATAATGGCCCAGACTTTAGATTTTGCCATTTTCTTTTTATTAATTTTTAAAAATTGAGGTGTAGTTGACATATAACATTATTTTATGTTTCAGGTGTGCAACACAGTGATGTGATATATGTGTGTATTGTGGAATAATTACCACAGTAAGTTTAATTAACATCCATCACCTCACATAGTTACAATTTTTTTTCTTGTGATTGAGGACTTTTAAGAGCAACTCCCAGCAACTTTCAAATATGTAATTCAATATTATTAACTATAGTCATCAAAAAAAAGTTGTATATATTCTTCAAGACTTAGTTTCTGTCTTTAAGGAGCATATATATGTCCTTCAAGGGCAGGAACAGGTCCTCAGTTCTCTTTATTCAGAGTGTTTTGGCACCATGGTCGTAGCTTTTTAACGTAAATGATAACAACCCTCTGGTGCCTGGCTTGGTACCTGGCGGGTGCTTTAAGCACACACTCACCGGGTATCTGGAAGGTGCATTCCGGGTGGGAGCAGAGGCTGGGTGGGAAGGCAGCAGTCAGGAAGCCCATCGGATGATGAAGGAGGATTTGCAGCTGGAAGTCCTGGAGTTGTCACCTTGAAGGGCAGGGAGAGCGGAAAGCCACTGGGAATGGGGGAGCAGTGCAGGAAGCACCAGATGGCCCCCATTCCTCCCAGTGTGTCTTAGGGTCCCTTCTTCAGAGCTGAAGGAGATTTGACAATCACCATTAAATGTGTCTTGATTGTTTCAATTAATTCTTTTAATGAAGAACACTGCTGCTGTGAATTGGGGACGTTGGCAGGAGAGCCACGTTGGCGAGTTGGGAGCAGAGGGGAGCAGACAAGTTCAGTTTTTAAAAAGCTGCATTCACAGAGTGGCTGCAGTGGTGAGCTTGGAGAGAGGCGCTCTGACGTTGGGCTGGGAGAAAGCCAGCCAGGAAGTCTTCAACTGTCACGGGGGTGACAGTAAAAGGAGCACGGAATTACCCAGAGAAGCGGTTCCCTGACTGGGGACTGAGGCTCCTTCACCCACTGAAGGGGTCCCTGAGAGAAACCAAGGTGGTCAGATGGTGCAGGGGTTGGGGGGGGAAGCAGGCAGCCAGTGATGGGGAGCCCCTGCAGGACCAGAGGGGGAGCTCTGTGTTAGGTCCATACTGATGAAAAATCCCAGCTGAGGAGACGGAGTTGAACTTGGCTAGAAGGAGGTGATGGTGGTAGCAAGGCTCAGTGTGAGCCGTTGGTGGTGTTTTGCTTTCTGTGTTAGGTGTATAGATGCTCCCCTTTCTTGTGAATCGTGGTTTGCAGTTTACAAAGCATTTCCACTTTGTAGCATTGGTGAACATTTTGAGGGTAGTTTATTGTGAAGAAAGTAAAGAAGTGAAGAAAACTGTTGAGGTCCATCAAAAAAAACAGTGGACATACTTCCAAAGGGCCCTTGCAGAGATTAGTATAATTATGGATATTATCTTGGACTTAAGCAAAATAAAGCGAAAACAATGAATTAGAATATATTTGGGAGAAATAAAACTCCAGTTACTTCACACACGTAATATCTTTTTTTAAAACACTTGCACTACTCTTTTTTTAGAACTGTGCCTTAGAAGAATTTACCCCTATTTTATTTTGCAAATACAAACAGTTTTCCGCAGTAGCAGTGGAAAAACGAAACCTTTGCCCTGAGCCCATCAGAGCTGTTCCTCTGCTCCCTGGCCCCATGTGTGCCTTTGTGGAGGATTCACTGCAGGAGGACCTCCTGCTCTGGGAACCTCCTGAACCTTCATTCTTCCTGTTGTGTAGATTTCAGCTCATGGGCAAGGCGTTTTCTTAATGAGCCTAGACATTGTGGAGAAGGCTTGTGCATCCCTTCTGACGATGGATCTTAGGTGATGAGAGTTTGGTGGCTGCCACAATTAATAATTGATTGATAGCTCGTTTGGAAGGTACCAGGTGGAGGACGTGGGAGACAGAGCAGCAGTGATGCATCTTTTGTCCCTGTGCCTGGCCAGAGAGGACGCATTCAATTAGAGGGACAGATGGACAGCAGGACACTTTCATACACAGTGTTTTGGTGTGTAAGCTTTTACAATAGCTTTTAAGATCGTGATAGCTTTTTTTTTTTTTTTTTTTTGTGGTACATGGGCCTCTCACTGCTGTGGCCTCTCCCGTTGCGGAGCACAGGCTCCAGACGCGCAGGCTCAGTGGCCATGGCTCACGGGCCCAGCTGCTCCGCGGCATGTGGGATCTTCCCGGACCGGGGCACGAACCCGTGTCCCCTGCATTGGCAGGCGGACTCTCAACCACTGCGCCACCAGGGAAGCCCCCGTGATAGCTTTTTAAAATTAAAAAAAATAATTATTGAAGTATAGTTGATGTACGGTGTTGTGTTAGTTTCTGCTGTGCAGCAAAGTGACTCAGTTATACATATATATACATTCTTTTTTATATTCTTTTCCATTATGGTTTATCTCAGGATATTGAATATAGTTCCCTGTGCTATACAGTAGGACCTTGTTGTTTTCTGATAGCTTTCAGATTAAATCATGGTTGCCCTACTTACTCCCTGGTCTTTTGAAGGGTAGTGAATTAAGGAACCTAAATGGGGACGAGGCATTTTTGCTGGGCATCCACTTTGTGTCTGTTGTGTGCGGTGTGCGTGGGGCTGACTAGTGCAGACAACTCCTGCCTTAATGGAGCCAATAGTCCAGCGAGGGGACAGACATTAAACAATCTCCCCCGTAAATGTCTAAGGACAGACTTGAAGTGTATTATGGGAAAGACCAACAGAAGTCCCTCACTTGGTTTTGTGGGTAGAAGAGGCGTCTCTGAGAAGAGGAGCCACTGACCAGGCAGGGGTCAGGGCAGAGAGAAGTTGAGGGACAGGGAGGCACGTGTGCGAAGCAGGCAGGGGGAGGGCGAGGCCCAGGGGGGCGAGGGGCTGGGGGAGTCGGGGCCTGAGCGGGAAGCCCCAGGAAGGACACGCTGAGGGTCGTGCATTCTCTTCTGCTTCCCACAGGAAGGCTTTGCAGGGGCTGAGCAGGGCGTGGTGGAATCTGCTTTGTGTTGGGTGAGGCTCCCGTGGGCTGCCGCCTCTGGAATACTGTGCGGGTGGCAGGACCGGTTAGGATGCCACCTCGGGGGTCCCGGTGAGGGGAGCTGGGTGTGGAGATGGGCAGAGATGGAGGGACTCCAGGAGTACTTTGGAGGTAGAATTTACAAAATTGCTTATGGATGGGAGGGTAAAATTACTACCCTGAATTTTCACGTGAGAAACTGGGTGAATTTTCGTAGATGGGGGAAGACTGGGATGAAGCAGACCTTGTAATGTGGCTTTGACCGTTTTTCCTGTGTAAGACCCACTGGATGTTGGTTATTTTTTAGGAGATTAGTATAAATATGGATATTATCTTGGACTTAAGTAAAATAAAGCAAAAACAATGAATTAGAATATATTTGGGAGAAATAAAACTCCAGTTACTTCACACACGTAATATCTTTTTTTAAAACACTTGCACTACTCTTTTTTTAGAACTGTGCCTTAGAAGAATTTACCCCTATTTTATTTTGCAAATACAAACAGTTTTCCGCAGTAGCAGTGGAAAAACGAAACCTTTGCCCTGAGCCCATCTGCCCATCTGTTCCTCTGCTCCCCAGCCCCATGTGTGCCTTTTTGGAGGATTCACTTGGTGAATTCACTTGGAGACAACTTGGTGTGGTTGTGACGTGTGTCA